TCTGACTTGCCAAAAGGGTTTTTGTGAGAGAATCTGAAAGTGTGAGAGATAAGGTAAATGCATAAAAAACTTGTACCATATGCTTGATGAGTTGTAATTAAGAGTTTTTTGAAAATCATGCATAAAACCATTGTAATTTGTGCTAAAAGAGTTGTATTTAAGACTTTGTCTTAAATGGTTATATATGTAGTATAGATATACACACATATATGGTTAGGTTTCAGCGAGTAAAAGAGTTAAAAGTGAGAAACATAAGAATAGATCACCACCTTTGATTGCACATTAAGATGAGATGCAACGGGATGAGATCCACCGGATCAATCACCGTATCAAACGGATTCATTAGTGGGTTTTGGATTAGAAGTGATCAAGGGTCCAGATATGGTTGGGTTTCAGTGAGAATGAAAGTTGTAGTAAGAAATGATCTCCACCATTAGATCATTCCTAATTGAAGATCAATACTAAATGAGATGCACCAAAATATACCAGATTAATTTCCGTATCAAGCAATTCATGGGGTTATATATATATATATATATATATAGGGTTGGGTTCACATGAGACCAAGTGTTTTTCGTGAGACCCGTAAGACCAATTTATGTTCATTGATCAACTTTATAAGTTAATGATCTAATGGTCTAAATTGCACAATGGCAATTTTGTGATTATTGAAAAGTCTCGTGGCGTTTATGAATGTTTAGATTTTCATATTGTAGATCTAATCCAATGATTGAAAATTGGTCTTACGGGTCTCACGAAAAACCATTAGTCTCACATGATCCCAAGTCTATATATATATATATATATATATATATATATATAGTCATAGGTTCATTTGAGAAGTAGTAAGTATTTGTAGTGAAGTGATCATAGTCATTCATCTAGTCAAAATTTGTGGCGTTAACTGTGAAGCACCGGATAATTCGTCGCATGGTATGTGGAAGATAAAGGTGTATTTTTGTAACTTTTATAAATAGACGGCAAAACAAGTGTATATGTGAACCCGTGTGATCCACAACTATATGTTCATATGTGAACCCGTGTAATTCACATATGAACTATTTAACTGATTCACATATGAATCCGTGTGATTCACATATGAATCCGTATGATTCGCATATGAATCCGTATGATTCACAGATGAACTAATTAACTGATTCACATATGAACTCGTGTGATTCATATATGAACTAATTAACTAATTCATATATGTTAATCAAACGGGTTGCATTTAAGTAAATTAGTCAACCTGCCGAATCCATTCATTTGAACATGTTGGGTTGGTTGAAATTTTTGACCTGTTTTTAACCCATTTAAAATATTATATTAATTTTATTTTATTGTTAATTAAATATCACTATTTAGCAACATCTATTTTCAACCTCTCTTCCTCTTGTCTGTGAAAATGAAACCCTAATAATTAGTTCATCACGTACGCCTCCAACACAACACTCCAACAATCTCGCTCTCGTCTCTCCCTCCCAGTCTCCACATCTCCGGTGAATCAGTCAGTTGGTACCTTTCCAGTCTCAATCGCAAAGAGTAAATTCATTCCATTTTAAGTTCCTATTGTGTCACTGTGACTATGTACCTACTTTAAAGTTCACATTTTTTTCAAGTTCATTCCATTCTACAGTCTCCTTCACCTCCATCAAAGAACAATGAGAAGAAAGTGATTAATCAATTAAAGCAAAACAAATCTGGTATGGATTTAAACGACACAGAAAACTTCCATCTGAGATTTGGAATAACTTCGATTTTAGTATTGGCAGTAGGGTACTTGATGCTTATAGAAGTTAATTGAAGTCTTGTACAGTTGAGGCTATTAATTGTCTACGAGATCGAGTATCTGTTCTAACTTCTTATTTGTATATTTTGTATTATCGTATGTAAACCATGTATTTGCTAGAACTAAGTTAATTAATTTACCTATTTCTATAGCACAAATGGAATCGCATCTTGAGGTGCTATGTGGAGCAATCACGACATAGAAGATAGAGGATCAAGAGGAAAGTAATACCGAGATTGAAATTGCTGTTGGTAAAAGTGGAAGTCGATTACTTAGAAACTAAAGGTTTTCAATGATATTTGAACAATTTATTTGCATTTGTGGTTGTGTTTTATTCAAACTTTGAACAATTTATTTGTATTTGTGGACTGAGGTTGTATTTTATTCAGAACTTTGAACAATTTATTTGTATTGTCATAAAATTAAATAGTCTAATCCTTTTTGTTTTATTTAAAATTTTAAATTTAAATGGTTCAACCCATATTCAACTCATTTATTTAACAGGTCGGGTTAAAAAAAATCATAAATAGGTCAACCTGTTGTCAATCTATTTAGGTAATAGGTTGGGTCAGGTTGAAAATTTTCAACCTATTTAATTGAACATGTTGGATTAGGTTACGATGTTCAACCTGTTTAATAAATTGGTTGAACCCGAACCCAACCGAACTTGACCCATTGTCATCCCTACACATAGGTTTATATGTAAATCAGTTAAATAATTCATATGCAAATTACACGCGTTTAGATACGAACATATAGTTCATATGTGAATCACATGAGTTCATATATGCACTTGTTTTGCCGCTCATTTCTATAAGTTATGAAACTACCCTCTATCTTCTACATATCATGCGAGGAATTATCCGGTACTTCACAATGAAAGCCGCAAATCTTGACCAAATGAAGGGTCATGATCACTTCTCTAGTTCCCAAATACTTACCACTTCTCAAATGAGTCTATGACTATATATATAGGCAAGTATCGTGTGAGAAGGAGAAAGGTAAGAGGGATCTGGCCCCTTGATTGTCTTTAATTTCAAATTCACTCATGAATCACGTTTGAAACTGGGATTGATCTGATACATCACATCCCAATGCATCTCACTCTTTTACAAAACCTTTCTCAGACGATCCTTCATATACATATACATATATATATACATATACATACATATACATATATACATATACGTATACATATACATATACATAGAGGAGCGATCAAATGAAAACCACTCAAATTTGTAAAAACCGTAAATTCTACTCTCATCCGTCGATTTCATTGTTTAATCTTATGAAATTTTTTCATGAAATTGTTTAATCTTGTGAAATTGTTTCATATAATATTTTTTTTGATGAAGTTGTTTCATATATGGTTATGAAATTGTTTCATATACTACTTAATGAAATTTTAATGAGACTGTTTCATGTATTTCTCTAAAATTAAAATAATGAAGATGATAATATCTATGATTAACATCCTCCACAATAAAAATTATTAATCAACCTCTCATAATTACAAAAAATAAAGAAAATGAAAAATTATGATCGGTGGAATGAGGTTTTTACGGTTTTTACAAATTGAGTGGTTTTCATTTGATCGTTCCCCCATATACATATACATATACAGAGGAGCGATCAAATGAAAATCACTCAAATTTGTAAAAACTGTGCAAACCACCCTCATCTATCGATTTCATTGTTTAATCTTATGAATTTTTTTTCATGAAATTGTTTAATCTTGTGAAATTGTTTCATAAATACTTTTTTTGATGAAGTTGTTTCATATATGGTTATGAAATTGTTTTATATACTACTTAAAGAAATTTTAATGAAATTGTTTCATGTATTTCTCTAAAATTAAAATAATAAAGATGATAATATCCATGATTAACACCCTACACAATAAAAATGATTAATCAACCTCTCATAATTACAAAAAAAATGAACAAAATAAAAAATTATGATTGGTTTTCATTTGATCGCTCCCCTACGAATACATACATATATATATATATACATACATATATATATATATACATATACATACATATATATATACATACATATATATATACATATACATACATATATATATATACACATACATATAGATATACATACATATATATATATACATATATATATATATATATAGATATAGATAAAAGTAATAAAAAGAAGCAGATAGTGGTGACTTTTTGGGAGTTTGTTCATGATGAAAAGAGTTAAGATTCCATCACCATTCTTTCACTCTTACCCTTTTTTCACACACCATCCAATCCATTTACTATTTTTTTTTCTTTTTCTTTTGTAACTTTTCTAAAATCAAAATTTATAATCACAAATTTACAACATGGAATACTCCTATTCTAAATCTACAAAATTGGTCCTTGTAGTTTCTTAAGAATAACATTTTTCTTCTCTACAGATTCAAAATTACAAAAAAATGACAACATGTTTATATTATGGTTTGTAAAATCACCCAAATTTGGTCTTTTTATGTAACGTCCATTAAAAATAAATGTTAGATGGGGGTCATTTTCGTCATCTTCATGACTTTTTTTATCTTTTACCAAATCAAAATTGACTATGATTTTGGTCCATGTGTGTTTTAATCGTGTAAAGAAACAAAAAACTCGATAAAATGACAAAATGTCTCTCGTTTAAGGGAACTTTTTTACAGTCGTTATAAAAAGAGACAAATTTGGACGTTTTTTACAAACCATAGTAGCAATCTTGTAATTTTCAAAACTTTAAGGACGAAAAATGTTATTTTTGACAAACTACATTGAGCAAACTTATAGTTCACTCTAAAATAAATTTCAAATTATACAAGAATTCCATAATTTTAATCAATTTTATTTAATTATCTTATTCTAATTATTATATATTATACTAATAATCATTTTAAAAATACATATTCAAATACCCTTTTCAGGTATTTAACATATGAGTTGGGTTCACGTGAAACCTTTCTGTTTTCGTGAGACCATTTTTTATACTTGAAATTTCACAACAAAACACTGTAAAAGTTAAAAAAAATGAACATTCACAACAAAATGCTGTGAAAATTGAAGCTTACATTCACAGCATTTAGCTGTGAAATTTCAAGAATAAAAAAATGGTCTTCCAAGTCTTACAAAAACAGATTGATCTTACATGATCCTAAATTACTATATTTTTTAATTCAATTTTCAATTGCAAATATATCAAAAATAATAAATAAAACTAATTAAAATTAAGATTTATTAATAAAATATATTAAAGAAGTTTTATTAAATATCCATATATGAATAATAAAATTGGAACATTGTCTTTTTGATCCATCAAAAGCTCGTTTTCAACATTCCATTTTTAAATTATAAAATAAAACTGGAAATTTTGGAGTAAAATCCAATGGAAACTTCCTATTTATTATTAATTAACCACTACATAAGAAAATAGAAAAAAATAATTAAATAATAATAATAATAGCTCATAATTCAAGAACTTGAACCGCCGGAAAATCTAAGTGACGTCACCGGAAACAAAGGCAATAATCGGGGCTCCAATTCCCTCCTCGGCGTAGTCGCCGGCGACGGATGTAGATAAAACCCTTTTTCCGCTATCGCCTTTTCTTCAGCCTCAACGTCTAAATTTGGGCTACCGTCGTTCACCGGCGACTTATAAAACGGGTCGGCAATAAGAGGTGTCACCGGACTAAGCACCAGAGATGTGAAATCAAGGAGGCTCGGCGAGAGAATTTCCGGCGTGTTGGGGTTCCGAGGAGACACAGTGAACCCACCGCCATTTGTGAATCCAGCAACCAAAGGGCTGAGCTTGAAGTTCTTCTGGCTGTTCCTCCGTTCGTAGAGCTTGGAGGGTTTTTTGTTGAGGCCTGTTTTCATGGGTGGGATCGGGTTTTTGGCGGTGGTGGCTTGTTTGACAGTTTCCGATGATCCAGTAAGCATTTGAACGACTTTTTTGAAGGAGGTGGTGTCGGCTTGGACGAAGGTTGTTGGGTATGGATTGTTTGGGTCGGAGATGGTGACGGGAGTTGGCGGAGGCGGCGGCGGCGATGGTTGGTAGGTTGTGGCGGAGCAGGTGTTGGGAGAAGGGTAATTCTCCATTTTAGGAGAAAGAAAAATATCTAGAGAGAAGGCCAACTAAACTGTGAAGAAGACGAAAAGTCCATTACTTTATGTATATATATACACAAACTACATACTTGGGATCAGGTGATCTTATGTGTTTCACGAAAAACTTTTGGTCTCATGTGAATCCAATCCTATATAAATATATATGGATATATCATTTCAAATTTGTTTTTTCCTTGCATAAAAAACAAAAAATAATTATAAAAATTATTAATAACTTTACAAGAAAAAAACAAAACATAAAAAGATAAGAGCAAATTTTTCTTCAACCTTTAAATTTTTTAAAACAGCATAGCTGTTTCAACTTTCAAGTAATACGGATATTATTTTTTTAGAGTGGATCTGATATGATACCAAATTTTTTTTGTAATACTGTGTACCAACTAATTATAATTGGTATATGAAGTCCAATACTATATAGCAACCAACTGTATCTGGTATCGACTTTTTTCGTTGGTAATTTTTTTGTACCAACTTTAAGCTGATATATAAAACTTGTCATTTTGTTAAAATTTTAATTGAATGAGTTTTCGACTAATACATGTTCTACACATAAAAAATGTTCTAACAAAATAATTAAGAGTTATAATATTTGATCTACTATGATAAATAAAAAAAATGCAAAAGGTAGTAAATAATTAAATAAGTTGGTGTTGTGGTATTACTGTAGTACACGACTTCTAATACCGTGTACCAATCAAGTTTGCATATTTGATACGATACTATCAGTCGACTGTAGTTGTTACTGATTTAATTGATATGGTTGGTATAGATGTTGGCTGGTTTAGTTTGGTACAAAATTATCACCCCTAATGTTTTCTATCTTTTATTCTAAATTTGTTGATTTCTCTGTTCTCTTTTATTTGTCTCTTTATTTTGTAAAGAGTTTAGCATAGTTGTTGGAACAAAATGAGAATGAGAATGAAAATGACAAGAATGAAAATGAGAATGAATTTTCATTCCCCCCCAAGTTTAACCAGTTTAAAGCATTTGACAAAAACTATTAAAAAACATTTTTTATGCATGAAATATTGTTTATTGATGCATATTACTTAAAATTTAATATTACAAGTAAATTGTACATAAGTACAACTTATTAAAACTCCATATTTGAATTCGTGTAACTAACAGCAGATAAATATAATCAAATATTAGACAAATATCTCATTTTAAATATAAAAAATCTAAAATGTAATTAGCATAATCATTGAGTTTTAACAAAATACTTGATTATTATCTTTATAAAAAAGAAATATTATTAAACCTAAATTAAATTATAATTAAAAAATTGAATAAAGGAAATTACACCAAAATACAAAAACTTTTTAAAAGATTAATTTGATACTGATATCGATATTATTTTTTTTCAAAATTTTATGATATTTTCAAATTTATATTTTATTTAAAAATAAAAACATTATCGTTTTCTCAAAACCACATAAAACCGTATTATATCGACATAAAAAAAATAAAACAAAATACTGAAATCAAGATGTGTCTCGATGCATTGCACGAGTACCCTTCTAGTATTATATAAAACCAAACAGTTTCTTTTGTTTTCATTCTCATTGATTACTGCCTAACATCTTTAACCAAACAATTTTTTTTTTATTTTATTGATGAGAAATTGTCTTAAATAAATTTATGGGTTATAATAAACTTTTATGTCATTGTATCACACGAATGTCTGGTAAAAATGAAAGTTATGCCATTGAATCAGTCATAATTGAAGATTAACGCTCTTGGTGCACCAGATCAATTCCTGTGATAAACGCAATTTATATGGTGGAGATGGGATTAAAAGTGATCAAAAATCCAAACTCCTTACGCTTCTCAAGTCTCAACGTAACTCTTATTCTCACACGATCATTCGTCTAACTAGTATCGATTAAATTCGTTTATGATTAAAGTTTTTTGGTGAATTACAAGTTTGCTCCTTGTGTTTTATAGTTTCTAACGCCTAAAGACCCTAAAATGAAACAGTTAAGAAAATCAGTCATTTTTTACGGTTAAGTGACCTCATGTACTTGTCATGTGAGGGGATATTTTGGTCGTATCGGTAACAGTTAAAAAGTCTTTGTTGATTCGATAGATGACAGCACACCACATTTCTCATTCCTACCCCTCCTCTTCACGCCACATAATACAAACAAACTTAAAAATGAATCATATCTGTTATCATCATATCATTGTACTAAACTCGTATGTTGTAAGTGCATTATCAAAACGACAGAAGGGAAACTCCTAAATTTAAAACAAAAAACATATAAAAAAACCCTGAACCTAAAGATGTTGGAATGAAGCGAAGCAAATACACACGAGGCCGAAGATATAGAAACCAACCATCAGGAAAATCCTAAAATGAATGAAAAATTTGAGGTCTGAAGTCTTTACCGGTGATGGCTACCATCTCTAATCGTGTTTTGGAGCCCTCGGTTTATCTTCCATGGTTGTGAGTAGAAAGAAGTCTTGAATGAAAAGGGATTTTAGTTCAGATGATGTTGATGCTAAGGCTCGTATTATTTTTATTAACCTGGATATTCAACCCGCTATGCGAGCCGACTAATCCCAGGACGGCCACCTGCTTTGCAGATAACCTGGAGTCACCGCATTTGAACATCCATGGCCACAAGGGGGATTTTTATTCCTTCTGGAATTTAAACTTGAGACCTCTTAGTACTTTTGACCTTTGGAGCCAAACTCAAACCAATCAGGCACCACCCTTGTGGTCAAGGCTCGTATTTTTTATTCTATAGAAAAAATAATTCAAGAGGAAAAAGATTAAATAATCCTCATTTGAGGTGTGCATGCCTCCACTTAACGGTCAAACATCGACGACGACGTGATGAGTGATCAAACTGTAATAAAATGCATACCACATAACTAATATATTTTTCTCAGAAACAATTATTAATTAACAGTTTTCTAATATTAAAAAATTAAGAAAAGAGGAAAAAGACTAAATTCTCCTCATGTAAGGGACACGTGCCTTCACTTAACGGTTAAGCATCTGACGACGCTAAAAGAAAAGGCCGAATCCATAATAATATACATACCACATGGCATATCCGTAATTATTCATTCTATAAAGCATAGCGACCAAATGTATATTTCACCCATATATTTTTAGCGATGACAAAAATACCCTCCATCCAACAAAGAACTCGAACCTGATTTAACCGGGAACAAGGAATCCTCAAGTTTACAAATCAAAATAGGTATATACCCCACATCCCAAAACTCGACCCAAAGTATCGAGACTAAATTTTTACGTGTGTTTGTGTGTGTGTATGTATAATAAATTTGATTGTTCGTGGAAGAACTTTTAGTGATATAACAACACAGATGTATATTGTTTCAATTATTAAGTACTGTAACTGATATATATTTATGTTTAAACTGTTTTTGTTAAATGTTACTGTTATACAAATACATCAGTTAAATTTGGTTGATTAATGTTTTAGCATTAGATGACGTTTATACATACAATTGACGTATATGTATGTGTATAAACAAAAATATAAGGTAAAAAGTTAAATTTTGTAAATGGTTGCATTGCAATCCCCATCATTTTTACATGACACTAATTATTGTACTTTTCAAATGTTAATTATTCGTAATCATTTTGTACACTGTACATTAGTAAAATGCCAATTTTTTAAAGTTCTTTTTTTTTCATAAAATGACAATCATACTATTTTGGGGTGATTTTGACTATAAAGTACGGATGAGTCCCACATGTATATCATTTGGGGGACAAAGTCAGATATTATATCTGAAAATGCGCAAATCGTCCTCAAAAAGTGAAAATCGTCCTATGGGGACGATTTTGACATATATTTTGTCTTCTAGTGAAGACAACTTATGACACAACGATTTAACAAATCAATGGCGATTTGAAGAGACATCGAGAACGATTTTCATTGGTATTTTGTCTTTTTTATGACCAAATGTAATATATATAAATCTTGTAGTATTCTCTATAAAATTGTAGTGATTCAAACATTTCTACTCTCACAACCCTTAACTACAAATTTATAGAAGTGTTTGGATCACTACAATTTTATAGAGAATTCTACAAGATTTATAGATATATATGTATATATATATATATATATATATATATACACACTACATTTGGTCCTAAAAGAGACAAAATACCAATAAAAATCACCCCTGATGTCTCGTGAAATCGTCATTGATGTGTCAAATTGTTGTGTCATAAGTTGTCTACACTATAAGACAAAATGTCTACAATAGAAGTCAAAATTGCCCCCATGTGGCGATTTGGACAAAATGAGAGCGATTTCATATACATATAAGATATAATATCTGATTTTTGTTTCTCAAATGGTATACATGTGTGATTCATTCGTATCTTATAGTCAAAGTCGCCCCAAAATAGCCCCCATGAGCTATTTTGATGGTCATTTTGGGAAAAATCTCTTAAAATGGGTCATTTTGTTAGCGTTCCGTGTATAAAATGGTTATTTTAGGTAATTTTCCTTTAGTTTTTCTTAAAATAATATCCATTTTCACATTCTACATTTAATCATGAGATGGAAAAATTTATCTCTTTGTTATTAAAAACAAAAGTAAAAATAAAATTTAATTATTTAAAAATTATAATAATTACATATTTTTAATTTTCATCTTTAAACATTTATCCGGGTGTTTTACTAATATTAAGTAACATTAAATGTACAATTATTTTCATTTAATTCTATTTAAATGTTAATATCATAACAATAACAGTAATTAATACATAAAAATAAATAAATTAAAAACATAACAAAATGTATTTTATTTTGGATAAATGATTAAATAATTGTAAATTTTTATTACCAAATAAAAAATGGTGCTTTCTTGCAAGTCGATTAGAGTCAAGCTTATATTAAAAATTAATATATATATATATATATATATATATATATATATATGTGAACGATCAAATGCAAACCACTTAATTTGTATAAACCGTGTAAACCTCATTT